TGGTTCTTTTCACTCCATTATTGTTTTGAATGTTTGTGTGATGTAATGAAAAACTATTTTAAGCAAACGAAAATAGGTGATATACTAAAAGATTGGATCCCACTGGATCACAGTGTTGTGCAATCTACTGAAAATAAAACAATAAATGGACACTGACCACCACTGAGGTTTCAGTCTTTAGTAGTGCAAGAATTCTAGGTTAACTGTAGACATCCCATCCTGTTGATCTCCAAGTGCAAGTCTGAGATTTCAAATCAGTAACCCCACGTGACACTGTGTTCCCTAAAACTCCTGTTGCAAACTGATTATTTAATGATGACAGTTGAGCTAAGGGTCCACTGCAATGTGATGAGCACATGAACGCTTGTTCCTTGAGAATGGCTTATAATTAGCATCAGCACAGCTTTCCCTTGCTTTTTATCTCATACATGCTTACCTGCCCTTCAACAATGTATTCGGTAGAACAGAGGACCTCACGACATTTTTATGTGATACTCTTGGAATTTTGCACCTGAAAACACGTAGAGAATATATTTAGATTCTTTTTAGTTACTTATGCGTAACTCTGATATAGGAACAGATAATATATCAAAGCACCTCATATTCTTGATTGGAATAAGAAAGCCATTATTCCCATTGCAGTAAGCAAGCAGCATCTTGGGAGTAGGAAAATGAGAGCATGGTGAACTTAAGTGTAGAGAAGCCCTTTCGGGGTAACAGATTAAAACTTAAATCTCCCAGGTGATGTAGACAGCCCACTATCGGGATCAAATATCATAGCACAACACACACATACATTTTAGCTTCTCCACAACAGCCCAAGCTATGAGAACCTGAAACATTTTGAAATTTCTCTAGCTTCAGGTGATTTATCAGTAAATTTGTCAATCAGAACCGTTCCTCTAAAGGTCCTTAAAGATTCAAAATATAATGTGTGGACAAAGACCTGCATATTGGGGCTGGGGATTTACTCAGTGGTACTGCTGCCTGCCTCACAAGCACAAGGTCCCAAGTTCAATCCCCAGTACCAAAAACAAAACAAACAAACAAAAGACCTGCATATTGGATGCACCCCCTAAGTGTGTACTTCCAGGGCACTGAATGCAGACTTGGAGTTTGACACACTTGCTAAAGAGGTAATTTTCACTTTTAGCACCCATTTTACAAATTAGATCTGAAAGATGCAAAGGCCACAGATGTGAAATGTATCCCTTAAAAGTCTAATGGGATGTTTTCATTTTGAAAAAGGAAGAAGCCAAACATTACAATGCTAAACTGTGAGATGGTAGGGGAAGTTGGAAAATGACAAATAGAGTTGTATTACTTGGAGAATGTAGAACTCTTTGGTGGAGAAGTTAATAGTGTTGTCTGATAGAAGTCAGGCATTTGAGCTAAGTGACGAGATGTGACCATGCTAAAACTCCTGTCCTTTTCAGAAAAGTGGGCAAGTAGGGAGATGAATTGCCTTTGGAAATATACTGCACCAGCCTGACTTTGTGAAATTGAAACTTGCCACTGCACTGCATATTCTAGGCTGATGCTCTAATTACCTCAGGAACTGTGTCTTCAACACTGTTTTTCTGTTCTCTGTAACAACTGTTTGCTATGCTTTCAAGAGCTTAATCTCCTCAGGAAGCAGCAGGCACTGAAACCATGAGAAATTATTTTACGAGCCTGGCAAAAAACCCTTTCTGCCATTTACTTTTAATAAAATAAATGATCAAAACTGTCTTCCCTTCAGGAAGACTTTGCTCCCAATTCAGTTCATGACATCTACAATTGCATTATTTCTTCTGAACTCTAACTGAGAAAGATCCCTTAAATTTCCATCCTCAAAATACTCCTAAATGTGATTGTGTATCAGCACATAAACTGCTGGAGGACACATGACGCCTCATGCGATCCACTACATCTCTTAATGTACAGTATCACTTCTTATAACGGTTTCTATGTTCTGAATGCCATTACCCAAAATACATGTTTTAGAACCTAATTCCCAAGAAGATGCTATAAGGAGGTGGGGAATCTCTGGAAATTATTTTTGTCACAAGTCAAGAACCCTCAATAATGGCAGATATACGTATAAAAGACAGGCCAAAGACATCCTGCACACCTCCCTGCCTTGTGAGAATTTGACTAGAAGTCACCAGTGCTTAGATGCCAGATTTCCTAAGCTTCAAATCTATTAGAAAGAATTGTTTCATAAAGAGAACAACCATGTTATTTTGATTAGGTCTGCTGGAATGCACTAAGACAAGGTCTATAAATACATTTTGGTGAATGGGATGGCATTCCAACAGCCATGGTAAGATTCAGAGAGCAAAAGATTACCTGTTTCCATTTGTGAATGCAACTTCACAGATGCACATATCCTGGTGCATGTGTACACCTAGTTACTCTCCCTCATAAAATCACATAATCACTGCCAAGAGTAATCAATGGAGCGCCGGAGATTTAGCTCCATGGTGCTGCTGCCTGCCTCACAAGCACAAGGACCTGAGATTGATCCCCAGTACAAAAAAAAAGTGATCAATGGAAGTGCATGTGATGGATTGCTGCTTAGTGTTGATAGCTTTAGTTGGAGCTGATGACAAAGATAAATGTTTCCATGGAATTCAAAACTAAAGAAACCTGCAACATGAAGGTTGGCTTCCAGAGACCCAAAGTCATCTTTACATATTATTTTCAATATATCTGCTGATAAATCTTTAGGAAGCAGATAAAAGCATAAAATATCGCTACATATTTAAGTATAAAAATATTAAGCTTTTTAATTAATACATGTTTGAGGTACACGTTCACGTTCATCTCAGGTAGTGGGCATAGGTATTTAACATTTCAATTCTTATAATTTCTTTTTCTCTCCTTACCCACCACCCTTCCTCTCTCTGGCTCCAGACCCCTTTTCCCCATTTCTTCTACATCATCATCATCATCATCATCATCAATGTTAGTATTATTATCTAGTTCATGTTCGTGACATAAAGACTGCATTCATTGTGCATAGTTGCTACATGGCATTAAATTTCTTCTATCTCCTTCCCATTCCTGGCCTCCCAACCCCTTTTAACTTGCCAAAGAGCTATCTGTCTGTGTCCTTGTATATGTCCGACACAGAGAGATGGAGAAAATATGGAATCTATATACAATGGAATACTACTTGACTAAAAAGGATAAATTCAAGATATTTGTAGGAAAAGATTCACCTTGAAAACATAATACGAAGCGAATTAAATCAGACAAACAAGCCTAAGTGTTCTTAAAATGTACAGTTTCTGAACTTATATAACACTCTGTCAAAATGAGATGAAAAGAATTCATGATGTCAATTGTTTCCAAATTATAGTCTGATAAGCTTTTAATTTCAAACTAACCAAGTATAAATTTCGCTAAAATACAGAATACTTTCATTTTAACAAATTTCACAACCTTCAGCCCAATAATGAATACTTTCAGAAAGTTTGAATTAAATTACATTTCTCAAAATTAAAGATTGTATAGATACATCATGAAACCATAATCAAATTTTTGCTAGTCATGAAACAAAAAATAAAAATATATACTTAAAGTGTATAGTGCAATTTGTTGATGTTTATATTGGTAAATTATCACATTCTTCCTTGGTAGCATCTGCACTACCTAACAGAATTACCTTTTGGGAATATGGCAGGAACACTAAAACCAACTTTATCAAACTCTGATGCTCTGAGACCCTGCCTCAATCACTGCAGTCACTATGGGATCTGGTGCCATTCTGTACTCTACAAGAGAAACACTGTGCTTTCTCATGAACATCTCTCAACATCCCTATCCACACGGGTCAACCATCACTAACCTCTCTGCTTCTTTAAAGTTGTCAATTTAAGATGCTAGGGCCAGGGATTTAGCTCAGTAGTGCTGCCACCTGCCTTGCAAGTGCTAAAAAAAAAAAAAAAAAAAAAAAAAAAAGAATTTTAGTTACTAAAATCAATTATGATCAACCCCTATTTTGAATATGCATGGTATATTTCATGTAATGACCTCTTGTTTAATCTACTTTTCACAAATAAAGGATTTCCTTTAAGACTCAATACAACTTCACTGTATGAATAAACTTCACTTTATTCAAACTAAGGCTATGGGTCGCATATAAAATGTCCCTTAAAGGCCATGTACTGAAGATCTGGACACAAAGTGCATTGTTATTCCAACCTCATCATTGCACTGATCCACAGATACACTGGAGGAAGACTATATATACCTGTGCTTAGAAACTTGGGATCTAATTCCTAAATCACCTATGTCAATCTATTCTTAGTTTTCTCACACTGTTTTTATACTAGATTTCATTTTGAATTTGTGCATGTTTTTTGATGTTATGAGAACCATAAAAATTTTTCACACATTATTTATAAAGGCTTTCTCTTCAGTGGGAATTCTTTCAGGATTTTCAACATTAAGTGGAAAAATGGAAGGATTTTCCATACTTATTACATACATGTGGCTTCCTTCTCATGAATTCTTTCATGAACTTGATAGCACTGAGAAAAAAATTTCCCATGTTGTTCACATGTATTTGGATTATCTGGTCTATCAATTCTTTGGAATATGTAGTAAGACCTGTGCACTGCAAGATTTTTTAATATACAAAGATTCTTTTCACACAAAGGGCTTCTCTGCACTGTCCTGTCATATCACGAAAAGCCACTTTATATATTCAAAGGTAAATTCATCCTTTAAAATTTTATCATCTATGATGATTACTAGAGTATCTGAACACTTTCCCATATTGCTGACATGTAAGGTTTCTAGACTATGATTCATTTCATGCCTTTCACAATTCCTGTGTGTGCTGAGTTTTCCCATACTACTCACACACATAGTTTATACCCTGTGTGAATCCTTTCATGTATTTTACATTCATTGCACCTGCTGAAAGCTTGCCCACATTGGTTACATAACATGGGGTTTCTCCCCAGTGTAAGTCCTTTGACGTGCCTCACAGGCACTGCAATTGCTGAAAGCTCTTTCACCTTTGTTACATACTTAGGGATTTTCTCCAGTGTGACCTGTTTCATGTCTTTTACACAAGCTGTGGGTCCTGAAGGCTTTGCCACATTGTTTACATGCATAGGGTTTCTCACCAGTGTGAGTCTGTTCATGTATTTGGCAATTACTGTGTGTAGTGAAAGCTTTTCCACATTGCTTACATGCATAGGGTTTCTCCCCAGTGTGAGTCCTTTCGTGTATTTTTCGTTCACCGTGTCTACTGAAAGCTTTCCCACACTGACTACACACATAAGGCTTCTCCCCAGTATGAGTTCGTTCATGTATTTCACAGTCGCTGTGTCTGCTGAAAGGTTTTCCACAGTGGTTACATATGTAGGGCTTCTCCCCAGTGTGGATCCTTTCATGTACTTGACAAGAACTGTGTGTGGTGAAAGCCTTCCCACATTGCTTACATACATAGGGTTTTTCTCCAGTATGAGTCCTTTCATGTGTTTTATAATGACTCCGTGTCATGAAAGCTTTCCCACATTGCTTACAGACATAGGGTTTCTCACCAGTGTGAGTCCTTACATGTATTTCACAATCACTGCGCCTGCTGAAACCTTTTCCACAGTGGTTACATAAGTAAGGTTTCTCCCCAGTGTGGATCCTTTCATGTATTTGACAAGAACTGTGCGTGGTAAAAGCTTTCCCACATTTCTTACATACATAGGGTTTCTCTCCAGTGTGAATCCTTTCATGTGTTTTATAATGACTCTGTGTCATGAAAGCTTTCCCACACTGCTTACATACGTAGGATTTCTCTCCAGTGTGAGTCCTTTCATGTGTTTTACAACGATTCTGTGTCATGAAAGCTTTGCCACATTGCTGACATACATAGGGTTTCTCCCCAGTGTGACACCTTTCATGTATTTTATATTCACTGTGCCTGATAAAAGCTTTCCCACATTGCTGACATACATATGGTTTCTCCCCAGTGTGAGTCCTTTCATGTATTTTATATTCACTGTTCCTGCTGAAAGCTTTTCCACATTGGTTACATACATAGGGTTTCTCCCCAGTGTGGATCCTTTCATGTATTTGACAAGAACTCTGTGTAGTAAAAGCCTTCCCACATTGTTTACACACATATGGTTTCTCCCCTGTGTGAGTTTGTTTATGAATTTGACAATTACCATGTGTGCTAAATGCTTTCCCACATTGCTGACATACATAGGGTTTCTCCCCAGTGTGAGTCCTTTGATGTATTTTACATTCACTGTGTCTGCTGAAAGCTTTCCCACATTGGTTACATACAAAGGGTTTCACTCCAGTGTGGGTCCTTTCATGAATTTCACAGTCACTGCGCCTGCTGAAAGCTTTTCCACATTGCTGACACACATAGGGTTTCTCCCCAGTGTGGATCCTTTCATGTGTTTTACGATTATTCTGTGTTATGAAAGTTTTCCCACACTGATTACATACATACGGTTTCTCCCCAGTATGAGTCCTTTCATGAGTTTTACAATGACTCTGTGTCATGAAGCCTTTCCCACACTGTTTACATTCATAGGGTTTTTCCCCAGTGTGAGTCCTTTCATGTATTTCGCAGTCACTGTGTCTGCTGAAAGCTTTCCCACATCGCTTACATACATAGGGTTTCTCCCCAGTGTCAATCCTTTCATGTGTTTTAAATTGAGAGTGTATGCTGAAAGCTTTCCCATATTCCTTAAATTCAGAGTGCTTCTCCCCAGTCTGAGTTTGATCATGTACTTGACAACAATTCTGTTTGCCAAAAGCACTTCCACATTGCTTACATTCGTAGGGTTTTCCTGCAAAGTAAGTTCTTTCATGACTACCAAATGAAGTGTTATTTAAAGATTTCCAACTGTGTTTCCATACATAGAATTTTGTTCCAGTGTGAGCACTTTCATGTTTCTGAATATCATGGTGAGAATTTGAAACTTTTCCACTTTGTATGCATATATAGGTATTCACACTACTGTGATTTCTTTCCTGGAGTTGAACGTAGATGGGCGTACTGAAGGCTCTCACGTCCTGCTTACATACAAAGGATTTCTCCTCAGCATTAGTTTCAACAGTGCAATCAGAGGAGGGTTTTCCACATTGCTTATATCCATAGGGTTTTTCTTCAGGATGTACTTTTGCATATTTCTGAAGGGACTGGAAGTCAGCAGAGGTTTTCTCATATCTGTTACAGTTAGACGGTTTCTGTTCGAATCCACGCAGCTCATTTGGTTTGAGTCCAGTGTGATGTATGATGGGCATGGTTACTGATGAATGACCAATGGGAGGCTTTCCACATGGAAGGCTTTCACCTGGTTTTATACCAAGGAGTTTCATGTGCACGTTTGTATCAGGAGTCATAAAAACCATTTCTTCATGTTGATACCATAATTTATACTGACAGCATTTATCTAACTCTGCACTTCTGTCAAAGGAAAAAATAAGAAAATAACCAGTCACATTTTAAAGTGTCTTCATATTCATGGTTGACCAGGTGATCTGATTTGATGCCTTCTAAGCATATTTGATCATAAATTTACTGTACACTCTGGATGATGGCTTGGAAACAGCTTTTACCAAAACAGTACTCATTTGGGAGTTTGGAATGCAATACATACTGGTTACTTTCATTTTTGAACAACTGGTGTATATATTCTACCATACATTGATTGTTTTTCACATACATTCCTCCATGACTCTACTCCTCCTCTTCCACTGAGCCCCTTCACCCTTTCCAAAATGGCTGCCTGTCTTTTCTACCATCTCTCTTTTACTTCTTAATTCATATTTTGCATTTCTCATACAAAATACAACATGTCATAGTGAACTTTCTGTGTTTATCTTATTTAACATAACATGAGTTCCAGATCCAACCATTTTTTGGCAAATGACATCATTTCATTCTCCTCTATAGCTCAGTATCATTCCACTTTATGTATACACCATATTCATTTCAGCACTGGGTACTGAGCCCAGGGTTTGAGCACTAAGCTACATTCTCAGTTATTTATCTTTTATTATAAGACTGAGTCTCATCAATCATTAAATTGCCCAGGCTGAACAAGAATGTGCCTCATATTTCCAGTGTGCTCCATCCTGCCCAAGCTGTCCCATTTTTCCTTTCTACTCATCTGTGAATAGGCATCTAGGCTATTTCTTGAGCTTCATTTTTGTAAGTTTCACTGCTACAAACAGGGACATGCATGTAACAGTATAATATGATTAACTTCAGGGGAATACACACAGTAGAAGAAAAGCTGGATTAAGTGGAATTTCTAATTTTACTCTTCAGAAGAATCTCTATACATTTCCATAGATGTTATGCTACAATGACAACCCCACCAACATTATGGGAAGGTGCATTCTAATACTTTATTTCAGAATGTAAATAGATTAAATGCTTTTCAAAATTGTTTGAAAACAGCTATTATCAAAATAGGAGTATTCATTTGGATTATAAATAGTTTGTCAAGATTAACAATATAGCAAATATTGAATATGCATACGAACTTTAAATACTTGTAAATTACTTAACTTGTTGGATAAGAAAGCAGTCTTTTGAAAATACATGCATATGGAATTAGATATCCTGCACTTGGCTCTCAACTAAACACAAAGATTTTTTATATATACCTATAATCGATGCCTAAATATAACTTCATACCACAGTTTTATAAGATGCTAGATACTAAACATACAGACATCTTTGGAGAAATTTTGAACAATTAAAGAAATTTGAGCATGGGCTCATTTTATTTTGATTTTTAAGACAAGGTCTTTCTACATAATTGTGGCCACCTGCAAACTAACTATGTAGCACAGACTGGCCTTGAACTCCTGGCAATCCTCCTGCCTCAGTTACCAAATTACTGCAATTATATACATATGCCACCATGCCTGGCTCTCAATTTTCTTTTCTTTTAACATGGCCTCATTTATAAAGTTTGCCTGCTTTTAATATATCTGACCTTTAAAACACCCTTGTGAATGTCAATTACCTTAGAGTTTTCCTGTAATTGCTAAACTTATCTTCAATTTTCTGGTCATCCCAGTTTCTTCCTAAAGTACAGAAAAAGAAATGTAATGATGACTTACTACATTACACAGAAATTACTAGCTTCTGGGTAGATCCACAGTACAATGTGAGCAGGCCCAGAAGATTTATGAGACTATTTCCATGTTTCAATGAAGGAAATTGCATTGAGGAGCAATAACCAATGCTCGCTGATCACATACATGAGAAATGATATCTTCCTTACCTATAGCAGTGACATTCCTAAAGTTTTCCCACATCACATCTCGGTAGAGCTTCTTCTGGGATGGATCCAACAAAGCCCACTCCTCCATGGAGAAGTTCACAGCCACATCCTCAAAGGTCACTGTCTTCTAAATCATTGGAAATATATTTCCAGGAAGAAGAGTGAGACTCACAACACAAAATATCTCAAATCTACTCATGAAAAGCTGACATGATGGACAGAGCCTACTAGATCAGATGTGGGGTAAAAAGAACCGGGGCAGATGAATATCTAATGACTTGCTCTGACAGAACACAGAAAATACATCTATTTTCAGATTATTATTTAGGATATAGATCCCTTTTTCCTCTTACGGCATCTAGACAGCACTGCAAACTTGAAACTGGTTTCATAGACAAAACTATAATTAAACACAAAGAAAGCTCCTGAATGGTAATTTAAAATGCTAATTAAAAGTATTACAGTATTCATTGGTGAATGTCTAACAAGGAAATTAGATTCAGGAAATCATATTATCTTATAGCAGATTGACCTGAAATACTCATCTGTCACCAAGATATAAAAATTTCTAAGGAAAAGGAAATGTGGGGATAGACCAAACAACTGAAAGCCATGCCCCTAGCCACAGGCCAGGGATATGCATGCACTCATCCCAGGGAGGGCGATGGAACTGAATGCTCCCTCACAGCCACACACCATACCCCATATGCCCAGCTAAGGGAGAGATGCAGGACAGACCAGTCAGTCTGACATGGAGGACAAATGGTAAATTTTACAGAAGTACTCAGAGAAACAAAAAAGAGAAGAAAAGAATATCCAGCAGCTATTCGACAACATTAAGGGTACCAACAGAAGGTTAAATGGAGTTAGAGAAAAGCTAGAAGACAACACAGATGGAATTAATAATACATTTACAGAAATTACAGTAGTAAAATTCCCAAAGATGAGAAGAGTTAAAAATATAAGTAAGCCATGCTTAAAGAATACCAAAAAACTATGAAGAAAAAATAAGATCATCAAGGCTTATTTCCAAGGCTTACAATAAGTCTTTTTACAATGCCAGATAGCCAAAATCCAAAACAACAAAGATTTAAAGCAGAGGAATAAAAAGCACCTATAAAGGTAAACAAATTAAAATTACAGCAGATAGAAACTTTAAAGGCCAGAGGAGCTTGGAGAGCTTCAAGTGATGCATTTCAAGTCCTAAGAATGACCAACTTCCAGCCTAGTTTAACCTATCCAGGAAAACTTCCTTTCAAAATAGATGGAGAAATAAGGGCATTTCATGAAAAAGACAAGCTCAAGAGACATATGAATAACTCCAAAAAATACTCAAGAGTATCCTAGATAGAAACACTGGAGCCAATACAGATATTCCTCATTTAACGACCTCCTGTTTTAATGACTGTTTCAATTTACAACTGAGGAGTGGTGTTTCTGACTTATGACCTGTCACTCAAGCTTACGACCCATTATTTTTGTATAGTTCTGCACATATTGACAGAGCCTCAATGTCTCTTTCTCTACAATGCACCTTGTTTATACAGTACTCTAACTTTTGCTGATTGTATTTGTACGGTACATTACTATAGTTTGGGAGGTTTTTTGGTACCAGAGATTGAACTTGGGACCTTACACTTGTGAGGCAGGCGGCAGTACCACTGAGCTAAAACCCCAGCCCACTGTACTATAGTTTTTTATTGTTACATATTACAGAACTGCATGTAAGAGTTACACAAATAAAAACAAAGTCACCAAGTTGGAGTTTCCTTTGACCATTTACTGTCATGAATATTGTAAAGAGCATACTGTCACTCATTCAGCTCTTCATTCAGTGACCTAATTAATCACAGGAGGAAGACTCAGTCATTACTTGAAGAATGCATGTAGCCTACTGTATTTTAGGCACATTCACTAAGTATGGTGTGCAAATAAGCACAGCTTTCATGAAAGACAAATGTCTTCAAACTATGTATTATTTCTATATGTCTAATGCTGCAGACAAATAAGCTACTTTATGTATTTTGGATATGGAGGCCCAAAAGCAACTTCAAAAAAATACATACTTTCCCTGTTCTGATGCAGAAGGCAGTGATTTGGAGCATGGTTTTATGAGATCCATTGATCACATATGACACAAGAACAGCTGTGACAGAGGGCCAGAAAAACTTACCCAGTGCACTCTTTCTATTGGGCTTACTTCTAAGGACTATTTGCTTTCAACAGTTCCTGGGGGGATAATAATACTGAATCATGTGGAGTTAAACAAATTGAGATAGAAACAAATTATTTAGAAGTGATGTTAACGCTGAATCTTTTTGGTATGTAGAAATGTCTTATATCATATGGGTGCACATATTGTCTCAGTGGTTTTATATATATACTTCCAAACCACAGGAAGCAATTAAAAATTATCACTGCTATTCTTGGCTCTGTGATGGTTTCATTTGTTTAACTTTTGTCTTACACCCTGGCTGGTAAGCTCCTTTACTAATACTTTGTATGTCTTTCTATCCTCCAAGGTGTTTACTGCAGAGGTGGTCCCAGCAGTGGCTCTATTAATGCCAGTTTCACTGTCAAGGATATTTGTCATTTCCAGTGTGTTTTACAGAGTCAAGGTTCTTGATTCTGTGACACCTTGTTAGCAATATTTTAGTTTGATTGCTTCCTGACAATAGACCTGCAGAAGCTCCCTTATTAATGAGCCAAAATTGCATTTAAAAGCACAGCTTCTAGCAAGATGAACCGTGTGATCAATGTAACCTTGAAGAATTCATGGAAACTGCCAAGATGCAAGAAGAAACATAGAATTAGATGTTTTATTGACTTGCTAAAGATAATATCTGGATAGCATCTGTTTTACAGTCATGATGATTGATGACTACTTTCTATATCATTGCTGTATCATAACAAATTTTCTGAATAATCTGTATCCCTGCTTTTTCTGACATGTGCAGGATCAATATTTCCTGAACCCAGCCAATGTGATGATTTGTTGCTGGCTGCTCTACTATATTGTAAAGGATTTGGAGAGTGTGTGCTCTTAAGATCAAATCATTTTTAGCTAATTAATTTGACAATATATCTAATATATATATCAATCATGTAACAAGCTACCTGTTTAATGACGCTTCTGACTTTGACAGACACTTAAGATGTACATCCCACTGGTGTCACGCGCCATTATTTCCAGGTTCTTCATGCCCTGCATGAATCCCGGATGCGAGTCCGCCGGTGACGGCGGTTCACGCCTGCGCAGAAGGGGCGCTTGGCTCGTCAGAATGACGCAGGCCGGCATTGACCAATAGAAATGGGCCACGTCACCCGAGAGGCTATAAAAGGCAGGCTCGCATCCGGCTCGGGGTCTTTCCGCCATCTTGAAGAATGTAGAAGAAACTCCAATAAAGCGTGCATCAGAAGAATCCTGAGTGTTGCGTGCTCCTTGCTGGCGAGGTGCGCGCGACACACTGGTCAGACTTGGTATGGCCTATTTTTTTCTTTTTGTTCAGTTCTGCACATCTTTTTGGTGGAGCCTCAATGTCTTTATTTTGTACAAATAAAATTAGATATTTACTGTGTATAATTTTCTTCTTTGTCTCAGATGTTGTTATATAACTATAAAACTGTGTACTAATGGTTAAAAGTGGAAAAGTAGTAGTGATTACAGTCCATCATTTTCCAGTTTGTGTTTGATACTATTGTTGCTACTGATAACTCTAGCAAAGGTGACACAGTTATTGTGATCAACTGATCTTCCTTATGTATTGTCTAGAGGTCATAAACAATACCACAGTCCAGTACAAAAGAACTAGGCACTAGGCCAAGCAGGCTGCAACCTCTCATCTTAATAAGCAGAAGACATGGGATCCTAGGATATGCTCAAGAGCCTAAAGCCAGCTATGCCTAGAAGATACTTCTGAAAAGTAGTCATTACATAAGGTCTTCTTACTAGTGATAAAGCTACCTAACACAAGCTATTTACAAGCCTTGATGCAGAAAATAAGCAAAAAAAAAAAAAAACAAAAAAAAAACAAAAAGAAAGTGAGAGAACAGGGAAGCAAGTTGCACTCCAAATCATCAACTGCCACAAAGCAAAGCCAGAGCGCATTGAGATTGAAGAAATCAAAAGCCACTCAGCTGAATTTTCTGAAATGGTAGCAGAAGTAACAAAGCAGATGAAAAAGTCTCTTGACAAACTGAAATCAGAAATAATTACACAGATAATTAAATAATGATTATAATGAAGGATAGGGTTAGTGAATCTAGAATAGATACAGATAAAGATAGAGAAGCTTAGGAAAGACATGGAAATCATGAATGCACATCATAGAAAAATCTGGATTGATAAAACAGAATCATACAGAAATCCAGGAGGTTAAAAATTCTACTGAAAGTATATGCAGCAGAATCCCCCAATAGTAGGGTAGAACATGAGATTTAAAATACAGGGTTGTGGGCCAGGGATTTGGTTCAGTGGGTCCACCGCCTGCCTCGCAAACGTAAGGACCCAAGTTCGATCCCAGGTACCAATAAATAAATAAATAAATAATGAATACAGGGTTGTAGTTGGTGATTATCAAATGAGAGATTTCTTAAAAATACCAAGGGGTTATGGAAAATTAATCCAACAGTTGCTTGATGATGCAAAGAAAACTTAAGATTAACTGGAATTGATGAAAAATCAGATGATAGCACAAAGGACATAAAAATCCTGTTCACAGAAGAAATAGTAGAAAACTTTCCATGCACAGAAAAAGAATATGACATCCAAATAAGTGAGGCATAAACGACTCCAAATAGTCATAATCAGAAAAAACAACAACAACAGCAAACAAAGTACACCACAGCACACAATGGCTAAGATTCCAGAAATTCAACACAAGAATAGAACATTAAAAGCCACCAGAGAAAAGCAACACATCATCTATGAAGGAAACTCCATCAGAATCACAGCAGACTTCTCAATACAAATCCTCAATTGAAGGAGCGCTTGGAGTGAAGTATTTCAAGACCTAAAAGAAAATTATCTCCAACACAGACTGAAGTACCCCAGAAAATTTTCCCCACAATTGATGGAGAAATAAGACACTCCCATGCCAAAGAACACCTGAAGAAACCCATGACCAC